GTGTGTGTGTGTGTGTGTGTGTGTGTGTGTGTGTGTGTGTGTGTGTGGGTCTGTATGCGACTTGTTCATCTTGCTATTCAACTGGATTCACGCGAATCTCGTGAGAGTCAAACATTTGAGCGATGGGAGAAATGAATCGTTGCGGATAAAGGTGTATGCATACAGTTTTACACAGAACATGATTGCGGATGGTAGTCACGAATAGCCTAACTTCAGTTGCCCCAAATGAGGATAAGAAGAAGAAGAAGAGGAAAAAAAAATGTGTGGATGAAGAAGAGGATGAACGGTGAAGAATACGAAGAAGTAGTAGCACGATATTTGGACAAAAATCGGCATTCACTACTTTAGTGCGAGAGTCTCATTGTGCCCACAGCCAAAGCAAGCTAGTCAGCCAACCAGCCGGCGAGCGAGCGAATGAGATCGTAAGATGGAAACAAGTGAAATGATAAAGAGTGGATCCACACGAGAAGCGGGCGAAATTTCATCTCTCTCTCTCTCTCACTCTCTCACTCTCTCAGTGTGTGCATTTTCAGTATACATTTCAAAATGCAAAATTCATTTTGCACGTACGACTGGTTCGCATCAATTTTTTATATGCCAAGACGATTTGCGCATTTTGCATTTTCTGCGAAAGCACTTCGTATCGTCCCGCAAAATGTCGAAACGTTGAAAAGTGTCTCTTAACAGAGCAGAGCGGTTTGGTTTTGTTGGCTTCCACACAATTCAACGATGCGAACACAGTGGAAGTTTTAGTTGCTGACGATTTGTCGATGCCAACTGCTTGTTCTCGAAAGCACAGAAACAAGAGAGAAAAGGAAGGGAGGGATCGAGCGAGAAAAAGCCATATTTGCGTGACGAAAAGAGACGCGGAAGGAGTTCTATATATTGAAGAATACCTTAGTGGCTCATAATTAATAACTTGTTCTCGTTTTTGTCTACAGAAAACATATAGACAAGAGAGAATTGAGTTTTGCTTTCAATATTTTTTACGATGGCCCATAAAGTGGTGCGCTGTAATAAAAACCCGAAGCACAAACTTTTGCCCGAATTGGCAAACGGACAACATATAATATTTATATGAACGAAATATACACAAAGGGAAAACAAGAAGGAGAAATATCGTTATCCGTATGCCGTTCAGTCGGTTGGTCGTGTTTGTTGTTGATGTGCGGCAATGTATCGCGGTTTCGCATGAAATGAAATGATATTGCATTGATTGACAGTGATTGAAACATTGCTTTTTAATGCTTTTCACAAACCGAAACGATATCATTCAATATTGACACGGTTTCATCATGCATCAGTGACGACGACGACGACGATGATGACGATGACGATGTTGTCGTTATCGTCGTCGTCATCGTCGTCAACGAAGGCGACAAACTGTAAGTACCGCACTGGATTTTATGCCGACGTGAGCGAAGCGTTAAGTTTTAGTGCCTTCACACTCGCAAAACTAAAATTACACGCATCCTCAGTAAATCACATCGCAAAATATGTTTCTCTTTCTTCCTCCCCATCATACAAAGCTTTTTCTTTCTCTCTTTCCTCTTTGCCATTTTGTTGTTGTTCTTTTCTTTTTTCGTTCGTTCGACGTATTTTTAATTGGCGCCACTGATTTCGCAGCGTTGAGTAACCTCAGTCAGTTATCTCAGCAATGGCACAACATTTGAATTTGAATTAATTAGATTTAATGGGCAGTTTTCTGCAATAACTGCTCGTTATTTTTTAGCCGATGGAAGCAAAAATGCGAATAGCCACATGCGACAACAGTGAAATTGATGTGATTTTGTTGATAACATGTATTTTATTAATTTGTTCGCAGTGAAATGGCGTGGGCAGTGAACATTCCTATCCAGATTCAGTATCGATTGAAATTTCAAGCAAATTAAAAACGATTGAATTTGTTGTGTGGATGTGTACTACACACACATATGCATTAGCATATATACACTGTGTCCGACCAAGTGTCCAACCAACCGACACAATATTCCCTGATCTTTGATAAAAGTGGCCATTTCCACTGGTTGAATTACGATCTTGATGATGTTGGTATTGTGAACGATAAATTGTTTTAAAATTAATTACAAATTTTCTCTTTGGTTCCGTCCATCAGCCGGGAGGTCTCTCTCTCTCTCTCTCTCTCTCTCTCTCTCTCTCTCTTCTCCCATTCCACATGTGATGATGATGATGATGATGATGATGAGTGAACGTTCAATTTACGCATCGATGGCAAGTACAGAGCGCGCTCACCACCTAATTTCCAAATGCAGTGATCACAGCGGATATATATAGGGATAAAATTGAAAAGCGCGCCCGACGCGACGATACCAACGATAGAGAAGAGTTGGAGAAGAGATGGAGGCGTATAATGTTCTCATCGTACAGCATTATGCAGACAATTACACAGCATAAATGAAAGGAGCGCGTGTGTTAGCTTAAGCGGATGAAAACGCAATAGCGTATATCAGCGATATATATACAGTACACCGTGTGTGTATGTGTATGATACATACGTATATGAGAGGAAAATACAAAGAGTAGATAGCTATATTTTATTACCCATATTATCTTCGATGCTCTGTGCAATTATTGATAGTGCTACATTATTTGCAATTTCAATAAAGTAGCAAATTAACAACACATTCCATATCGTCATCATTCGATTAGGGGCTCGGACTCGGTGATGCTTACATTTCGCCATCCTGTGTGTCTTTTTGTGCGTGTGCATCGTTTCAAACATTGTGTGTATTATGATGAGCACGCGTGTAGTGATACGTGTACGTTAATATAAATCTATGTATGCTATAATGTTTTACAACTACTATATCTCACTCTCGGAATATGTATTTTGTGGGTCGACGCTAATTTGATTTGGTTTTCAAAATTTTGACTTCATTTTGCACTCGGCATTTTCACCAATTTCGTTCATTTGTTCCACACACATTTCACTAAACATACTGTACCGGTTCGGCAATCGTAGTTCAAGTTCACTTGATTTGGTTTTTCATTCTATTTCTCTCTCTCTCTCTCTCTCTCTCACTCAATTTATGTTTCTGTTCTTTTTTTCGCGTTATTTTTTTACCGTTGTTTCATTGCCTTTGTCACTGAGTTATGAATGCGTTACAAAATGTTTATTAAAACTCACAGTCACTGCCACTTATTTATTTGGATATGAGGCTCTTTCGTTTTCTCCTTTTTTTCTCTGCAACGATAGAGCCGAAAAACACTGCACATTCGACATCATTCATTTATACATTCACATTAGAAGCATTTATCCGACCGTATTCTCGGCATCATTCGATCAGAGGCGTTCCAATGCTGCAACGAAAATTTAGTGATCCGAAATTTATATGCATCCGGTTCCGGATCCAAAAACATTTTCAATTTTCCAATGCTAAAACCGTATACACATAAATAGAACAACATCAAACACTAAATGTGCCCATTGTCTCTGATGTGTCTGGATTCTCTATCTATATCACATTTGCTCTCTCATTCGTATTTTTTTTTCACTGTATCTCTGTGTCTCTCTCTGTTTCATTCCATAAACATAAACATTTAAACGCGTACAAGCAAAAAATCTACAACACAACATATCGGGCCACATAGCATTGTTGCCTCACCATCACCATCCATGGTGGATTATGTTACAGCATTTCGCGTTCTCTTGTTTAGTGTCAGAGTGGTGCAAAATATTTAAGCCATTTTCGAATATATATTTTTTTTGCTGTTTGGTTCCCGTCGTGTGTGTGTTGTGAGTTGTGCCATATCTTGCTATTGTTTGAGGCGATAAATACGATGAATTGCTCGTAAATCCGGTCACCACCGACACCAGAACCAACACCGACCAACTATCCCATTTGTCTGTTGTGCACGGGGCGGCAATGGCAGCAGCGACGGCCCCATTATTTGCCCGACAAATTATATTTGTTTAGGCTTTTTCTGCTTGTTTTATTGCTCATTTTTCTCTCTTTGTGTTTTATCGTGTGTCTTTTCTCGTGTATGTTTTCCCCCCCACTTCATGTGTCACATTTCAAAAAAATTCGCAAAGAGGAAAATGCCACAGAGAGATTTTCCAAAGATTTTTAGTCGTCTCGTTTCTTTTTATTCTGAATCATTAGCCATAATTACCCAAATTATTTTTCTTGTTTCAAATTTTCAGCTGCGTGCTGCTAATTTTTTGACGTGACACATTGCAATCATGCCATCGCCTCATGCCACATTCGAAACAATTCTAAAATCTCTGTTTCTATTCCTCTCTATCTCACATCGTCGACAAATCATGGCACGAAAAACTCGCCAGACAAATCAATCATTGCGCCAAAAGCTTTTGCCTTTTTCACGTTCATGTCAAAGTGATCAAAAAGCATTGAGCTGCATTATTCCAGATATTTTTCACCCTCTCCGCTATCTTCACAAACGGATCAATTCCATGGCGTTTTTTTTCGTTGTTTGTTTCTATCACTGTTGGCTGTGTGTCTGTGTGTCTGTGTGTGTGGCTTTTTTTGTCTATATATTGTGTGTTACAAGCATATTTTTTGCGGGTTATTTTTTTTGATCGTTCTTCAGTGGTGTATCTCCCTCTCTTGTTGTGTCTGACTGAATGTTATGCAAGTTTTGCAATGCAAAACGCTCGCTCTATTCTATTCTCGCTCGTTTGGCGTGCAGCATTAATGCCCCGACATTTACTGTTGCCTGTAGTGTTATATTTTTTTTCACTCTCTCTTCCCCGCTCATCTTTTTCGCCTGAAAGCGCACAAGAAGTGCGAGAACATAACACAGAGAAGAGATCGAGAGAGAGAGAGAGAGAGAGAGAGAGAGTGAGAGAGGGAAAAAAATGAACAACAACAACGAAAATTTCAGTCATGTATTTGTAATTTGTTTTACAACAATACAACGCCCGAGCGCTAGCGAAAAGGCTTTGGGATTTCGGTAACATTAAATTAGATTGGAAAACGTTACACAACCACTATCGGAATGTGAATAATATATGGTTTTCACATGGTGAAAATCGTCTTTATTGTAATGCAGCGCACTTTTTTTTTCGTCTTCTCCCCAAAAGCCAAAACGAGGAGGAGGAAAAAAGAGAAACGTGAACGCAAGCGAGAAGTGAAGTAAGAGCAGCATTCAAAGCTAGTCAGTCAACCAAGCAGCCAAAAGCCAGTATGAGGTCGATCAAGAGCGACAATAGCAACCAATCGTATTGAAAATGGAATATAATAAAATGTATTAACGGGGATTTTTTCCCGTTAAAATTGGTTTTAGTTGTGTGCCAACAGCAATGGCCATATAGCAATGGCGAGAGGAAAAAAAAGCGAGAGAGAGAGAAAGAGTGAAATGAAAGACGTGGCGACGATACCTAGGGGAATTTATCATTCAAAAATTCATGAATTCCGGTGTGTTTTGAGCTAAATTCAGAATATCCACTCATATTCACAGATATTCAGTCTTTCTTATTTGACAGTTCAGGCGTTCTCATCAGCCGCCATCTTGAATTCGTCGCCATCTTGGAAATTTTATTCAAAATATTCACAAAATTCACAACATTCACATATAATCGAAATTTTGACGATGATTCAATGAGAAAAATATCCACAATATTCACAAATATTCACATTTCTCAAGCCTTGAATGAAACCCCTAGGACGATACAGTAAGAGTTAGAAATAGTGCGAAAGAGATACAATGTGAGTTGCAATAACGATCGTTTGCGTAAGTTGCGATGGTGTCTCGGGATAGAAGTGTGAATAGAACGCCATTTTCCAAAGCGTTTCGAATTTTTCGCTTGTGAAACTAATTAAACACCAAGCTAACCAATTTCCCTTCTTTTCATTTTCATTTTTTTTTTCTTCTTTTTATTTGCAATTTCTTTTATTTTACGTATTTTATTTCTTCGTTGTTTTTTTTTTCTTTCTTTCTCGTTCTTTAGTTGTTGTACTTCCTTTTGCGAAGTTTTAATTAGTTTTACGGAGAAAACGCTCCTTTTTGACTCATCTGACAGAATTCAATAAACACGCTAGTGCAATGTATTTGCGCTGTAATGGGCAAATGTTTGCAGTTGAACATTGGCGGTTTTTCCAGGAGAACGAGAACAAGAAAAACAACAACACAAGAACAAAAGTATCAGCAACAACAAACACCATGCTGATTTGCTTAAAGAGATTCAATTATTATGGTAGTGCCTTGCATTTTTCCCCCCTCTTTCTCGATTTGCTAGTTATTATTTAAAAAAAAAATTGTTATCGAAACGGACGTTTCCTATTGGCCATTGGATAATTATGCAGCATTATAGCTAAATGGACGAACAATTTTGAAAAGGCTAATTCGCGAAGATTGAACCAATTCTACGGCTTTTGTGTACAAGCGGCCACTTTGCAATTAAATTCGCATCGACTTACACATTCCAATTCTTCTTCTACTTCTTTTTCTTCTTCTTTTTGCTCGTGTTCGAAAAGTTTTTCTTTTTCCTTTCGTGCTGTGTTGAAAAGAAAATTTCAGTATTGAGAATTTTTCGAATCGAATTTCTATAGCGTACAACATATAAGAGTTGACAAACCTCCAATACCAAATGGCGATTTTCCAATAAAGTGAACGATGATTTCCTGTTTGCTAAAACTTTTTCATGTATTTTGATTGTGTTTACTTTTTGCGCACACATTTTTGCGTTGTGTTGTCGCTTGGCGATTCTGTGTATTGCCAATTTTTCTCGTCATCGATGCTCTCCATAGCCGATGACCACTTTTTCAGTGTTGTTGTTGTTGCGCTTTCTTTTTTTTGTCATTGTTATTATTGTTATAGATTTTTTTTTCTGCTGTTGCTTATGATGATGCGAGCGCGATAAAAGCCAATGAGTTTTTGTCACGGCCCGGTATTAAATTCCTTATTACGAAGCCACAAAACCAGAACGCCATTATTTGTGCACAATATTGATACAGAAATTGAAACTATCGTTGTGCATTTTGTGCTCGCATCTGTGCACGGCACTCGCTCTCTCATCCTTCTCTCACCACACACAGCTTTCTCTCTCAGTGTGTTTGTGTTTACAGCCGGTTTTCATTCGTCTGCAGTCGGCTGGGAAAATTGAAATGTATTGTCAATCGAGCGAATCGACAGAGAATGTGAGACACACAGCGTATGGTGTTGTGTGTGAGAGGCTGAGTGTGTGAATGGTTGGTATTTGATGCGTTGCGATTCACTGATAGTTGATAGCTGATTATCTGTTGTGTGCTTTTGTGGGTTGGTATGGAAGGGGGAGGGGGGGAGCGTTGATATACACTTGCTATATCATCATCCAAAGAGAATTGTGTATGAGTTACGGTAGCATTAAAAGCATATATTGTTATTTATATTGGCGAAATGTGACTGATTTAATTGGAATTCCCAGAAACGCTTTTGCGAAAAGTTTAACTCGATATGCAACCAAGGAACGTTCTTATTCAGGGGGAAAAAGTTAGCAAGCGAGACAAACGACATACACAAACACAGCAGATCGAATGAAAGAGTGTTAAACGTGATTTTAGCACCGTTTGTGCGGCAGCTGCCAGAGGCTCACACAATATGAAATATTGTGTGTGTGTGTGTGTTTCGGTGTGTTGTCAGTCACGTTATCTCTGGCGTTGTGCACGCTGTTTTTATGGTATTTTTGTTTTGGAAACTGTTTTCCTGCTCAATTCTATGTTTTTCAATGTTTACCCTTCTTCGATGTTTGCCCGTACACACATTTTCGGCAACGATGGATGGGTGAACGCGCGCGGTTTGCTTGTTCGCTCAAAGATTCGATTACATTTTTTGTGTTATTTATTGTGTGCATTAAAACTTTCGTTTTTCATCTACGCGGTTGGCCATGACGTGCGTTTGATTTTTACTTTGACGTAAACAAAACACACCAAGGCACATGCACGCACAGCACACACACTGTCCGGAGAAAATATTTGGTGATGGTGACTCTTTTATCGGTTGTTGCGTTCATTATAATTTGCTATGCGTTTTTTAACGAATAAGACCAAAGGAAGTGAGAAAAACGTACAAAAATCGAGACCCAGAGCCAAAGAGTTGTTTATGTGTCGGTTAACTAAGAAATATTCCAAATCTTAAACGAAAAAAAAAAAACAACAAAACCGAAAAATAAAGAATCCTAGAGTGGTGTGGGGGAAGAAAGAATGAGAATTGAGAGCAGAAAGCACTCATATACTTGTTACATTACTTTTTTTTCTATTCTCGTTGTGTTCTCTGTTTCGTGATTCCGTAATTTCGTATGTTTTTTTATGCTGGTCGTTTTCTAGAACTTATCGAAATTTTCTCGTTTTGTGTTTTCATGCTGGATGCGCGAAAAGTTTTCAACAATTGATGCGATCAGTTTTTGCGTTCACACAATTCAAGCCGGGGCCGAATAAGACCGTCGTCGTCGTCGTCGTCGTTGTTGTTGTTGTTGTTGTTGTTGTGAAGAGAAAAAAATTATTTTTTTTCCTTTATTTTCTGCTCAGATTTGCTCTAATTCCATTTCAATGTTATTTTCTAGTTGGTCTTTTTCTGTTCAGCTTCCTTTTTGGTTGCTTTTCATTGTATTTTGCCTCTGTCTCTCTCTCTCTCTCTTTCTGTATTCTGTATTTGTTCAGCATTGCTCAACACAAACTTTTTAATTTTTTAACAAATATTTCAAATTTTCTCCTTATTTTTTCTTTGTGCATTAATTTTTCTTCGTTTTCTCGATGTGTTGTTCCTTGACTGGCCGAGAGTAGCAAGCGGTGGTGGCAGCGGTGTTTTCTTTTGGGATTTTTTCTTTTGGCGTTATGGTATTCGGCTTTTCAAGCAATTTCTTTTTGATTCGGACGCTTTAGCATATGAACACATACACCATCACCATGAATGAGTCAACAACGATGGGAAAAAACAAACTGAAGGGAAAGTGGAATTTAATATTGTAACAATGACTGTATGTGCATGCAACGAATTTTGATCCATTGTTGAATATACGCGCCTCAACACACTCTGCCGACTCGGTGTACTTGTATGCGTGTATGTGGTACAGTGAGCAGGAAAAGCAGCAATAGCCGATTTTTGTATTTGGCATATGAATTCAATCGAATTCTCTCTTTTTGACTCAGTTGCCGTTGTTGTCGTCGTCGTCGTTCGTTGTCGTTGTTGTCGTTTCGTTTAAATAAAAAGAAAATATTGTATTCTTATTCTCGTCGTCGTCGGCAGCAACACTCACTTTCTCATTCACCTATTTTTTTTTATTCTTTTATTGAAATTTGTATCAGAATGCATTATATGCTTATGAAAATCGAAGCGAACAGAGACGAAATTCCAATCCCATTCTTATTTCGCATTGTGTGTATGTGTTGTGAAAATACAAATAATATTGTAAGCACTTTTCCTATTTGAATCTCGATTATTGAATTTTGGTGTACACTGTTGGCAGACAACAACACATTTATGCTCTGTGTGTTACTGCTGCTACTTTTTTTTTGTTATTATTATTTCGTTCGTTCGATTTGTTACTTTCATTTATATATATTTCTCTCATTCGGTGTGTCGCCCGCCCGAGTTTTGTACGTTGGATGGCATGTTATATTTTGTGTGTATGCTATTTTGTTGTCCTCGATACACACACACTTTAATGCGATTTCAAATTTTTTTTTTCCTCTTCTTCTTCTCAATATATTGTCGAATTTATGGACGTCGCGAGATGCATGCCATCTTCAAATATTCACTTGGAATTTTAAATTTAATTTAACAAACGAATATGAATAATACGCAGCGACGACGTCTACGGCGGCGACGAATAATCAAAATCACAACCCGAAACGGAAGTGGCAAATTTTTGGCGATGTGGCAGAGTAATCAACGCAACCGAATCTCATGAATTGCAATAAGTTTTAAGCACAAACACCACACAATAAATTACATCATAAACTTGTCATGTTTACACATTGTAACACACACACACAGAAAGCGAGTGAAGACGAAAAAAAACAGAAAACAAAAATTTACTAAGTCGGCTTCGTAAAACAAATAAAGAAACCAGAAAAAAGAAGAAGTTCGTTTGTTGGTTTTTAATAATGAAATACGTAATAAAAGTTCGTTGATTTCGCGGTATTCACATAGACTGGCCGTATAATTGGCACACACGCTGTATTGCGATAGCAAACCGTTTGGATATGTGAACCGAAACACGATTTCAACGAACAATTGATTATTTGATGCGACAAAAGCACGTCTTGACTCATGGACAAACAAACTGTGACTGAACGCGGCAATTCGAATGAGAGAAGCGCATTCAAACACACACCATCCGGATGATATTTTCAGTTTTGGCACACGCTCTTCACTTCTCGCATTTTGGTGTACACACAATTTCTGTGCTGTACTGTGTGCTCTGTTGTGCTGTGTGTGCTGTACTATAGCACCGAAAAATAAGGGGATGCGTATGGCGAATTGTATTGAGAGTTTCGTGCACGTTGCCAGCAGAGGAAAAAGAAGAAGAAGAAGAAGTAGAGGAGGAAAAACTAGAGATTTGATGTGGTGTGTCGACGGACCACGATGGATACGCATATATGCGTATATTCAACACTGGGTGACAGTCAGAGTTGACTTCAGAATGATAGAAAACTGATGATGATTTTTTTTTTCTTCTTTCGCTCGTTCGCCAACTCGCCCTGAATCAAACATCAAAATGTAATATCGCCTTCGCGCACAAAAACGCGTGCAAAGCAAACGAGAAATTGGTCAAAAGCGTCGACACAAATAAAAACACACACAGAGAGAGAGAGAGAGGGAGAGGGAGAGACATACCGAAAATATGTTAACTTCCTTTAGTCTATTTTATACGTCATTTAATTACAGATTTATTAATATTTAAGAAACTTTCTTATTAATTGTAGTCGCATTTTTACGCAATCAAGAGGAAAATTAAAAAAGAAGAAGAGAAATTCGAATCGATAAACGTGGGTGGATATTCATTATTTTTTTTCTTTTTCATTTGGATGTTTATGTTACGATTTCGTTTTAAGCGCTCCAACCGTCCAGAAAATCTGATGAATGACCCCAATGAAGATATTCCTGTGAAATACGAGAATCAAATTGATTCACCAGATTTTCTTATTTTTTCCCCCTCTGGACCTGGATATGTACATAAATTCGATCGCAAACGGAAAATGCCAATGCAATAGAGAAAGCTTGCACATATTTCAAAGGCATTTTCACATTCAAAAATATTTGAAATCTCCCCTCACAAGAAAAGCGATTGAGCAAACGAAACGGGAGCAAGCGAACGTATTTACCAAGCAAATCCATTGATAGAAAACGAGGAAGGAACTGCCTGAACGAAAATGCGCCGGCTGTAAAAACCGAGAGCGGCAAAGTCGAAGAAGAACTATTCTTTTGCGCTACAAGATTAAATTTTCTCCAGCAACTATTTTGCCTGGAATGGGATTTACTAGTGTGTGTGTGTGTGTGTGTGTGTGTTAGTGCTGTCGTTGCTCGTATTGTGGTTCAAGAAATCCCATTCACAGATATTTCAAATTTAAAATGAAAATGCTATGCCGAAAATTGGAAACGAATGCATCTATGATTACACTTTGAATATTCGATCGTTTTGATTTTCAATTGGTGCAAAATCCGTTGCATTCATTGTGAACCATATGCATGCCACATACCATGCATTTACATACGCATTACATTGTATCGATGGATTGAAATCGCTGGCTTGATTTGCTCGTGTCCTGGTGCCAGAGAATGGGGAAGCATAAATGAGGAAATGCATGTATATATATCGGGAGCATTGAGAGAATCCATACTGGCACGTCATTCTTTTGCCGGTTCTTTCTTACTCTCTCTCTTTCTCTCTCTCTCTCACTCAATTTCGACTGCAACAACAGCGCCAGCAATTGTAACATAACAGCTATTCACTATTTTCGCGCAATCGCTCGCTCTCTCTCTCTCTCTCTCTCTCTCTCTCTCTCTCTCACTCACTCTCGTTCGCTCATCGTTTGCAGTATTTTTGGTTGTTTCAATACCATTGATATGATTTAGGTGCAATTGTATTGTTGCTATTTTGCAATGAGAACTCGACGCGCTCGCTCGTTGCACTATTTTCGAATATCAATAGACTATAATGCATACATTAGGATGGCATGTACACGTACACCGGGTACATAGAGATACAGGGAGTGATCGCGCGCACGTTGAAATTCCATCTTTAACAAACAAAACGCTGATAATGCTGTTGCTCACTCTCGTTCGTATTCTAAAATGTTCAGTTTAACACTCAAAAGACGAACCTGAATTGAATCCATGCTCGAACTCAAAAAAGAAAAAGGAAAAAAAAACCATAACATACACACGAGAAAGGAAGAAAGGAAAAGGGAAGAAGACGAAGTATTACAGTTTATTTTCAAATTGCTGGTATACGAATCGAAACACACTTTGGCCATCTCGCACACGATATGATATGCATGACAGAGCGACACACACACACACACACACACACACACACACACACACAAACACACACATTCCGATGAGAAGAGCAAGAAATGTGTGTTACATGTGTGTGCATGGGTGCGTTTGCTTTTAGTCAATTCAACAACTGAAATCAAAACTTTGTTCACAGCGATGCGAGAGGAGTTTTTATTGGAAACGATGCGAAAGTACGAGATAAAAAAAGACGATACGAACCAAAACAAAACTTATTTCCAGAGACTAAGAGACCGAACGAGAGGGAGAGATAAAGTGAGATAGAGAGAGAGAGAGAGAGAGAGAGAGATACAAAGAGAAACACAGAAGTTAGAGAAAAGAAAAAGCCACAGCATAAAAATAATGTGTATTTCAGAAATAGTTGGAATTACGATAACATTCGATCGGTAGAAATCGAATATGAAGCGAAAAATACATCAAAAACTCTCTTCTCGCTGCAACTTTCCGTCGAAAATTACTCGTTTCGTTTTGGAATTGGACGTGCGGCGGGCGTGCGGGATGGACGATGGCACGGGTGTATTTATTTATGTGTACCATACGGTGTGCACAAGTGTTTGGTGGAAGGAATTGATAGTCGGTGGCAAATGGCAAAAATGCTCCGGTACAACAGGAAATGGAATGAAAGTATAGTGCATTGCATACACCACGCGTTTCCGAAAATATTCAAACAACTAGGGCGAGAAATAAATTCGAAACGTAAACTTTTGCAACAGAGAAAAAAAAAATGAGAGAAGCTTTTCCACTCCTGCTTGGCTTTCTCTCTCTCTCTCTCTCTCTCTCTCTCTCTCTCTCTCTGCTCGGCACTCACCCTTTTCTCGCATCGAACTCGAAATTCTTGAGTAATTATTAAAATAAATGTTTGTTGGCTGTGTTCGGCTATTATTAGCATTGTTGTCGTTGTTTTTGTATGTATGCCACATCGAGAAATGTACATATGGATGTGGGGTGGGTGGAGGCAATGGAAAAAAAAAGAAATGATAAAAATAAGCTCAAAAAGTAACAAACATAGAATAACCATGTCGTCCATCAAACCGAACAACAACATCCCATTTCGAGCTGAAACAAAACAAAAACAAAACAACAATCATAAAAAATCAAAGTACAAAATATAATAACATGCAATCAACTTACCTGCCATGTGGACATGTTATGAGCGATGCTTTACTTGTGTTTACTCATGTAAACTAAAATATAGCTGAAGAGAGATATTGACATGAACTTCTTTTCTCCCCCGTCCAGTTCACTATATTTTAGTTGAGTTCAGTTACAGCAGCCATAGTAGTAGCTATAGATGCTATCCTATCCCATCCCGTTGTCATCGTCGTCGCCATCCTCATCGTTGCCTGTTCCCGTTTTCGGCCGTTCACTCGCTCACTCGCACGGTTGGTTGGTCGGTCCAGATACATGTGTGTATCTTAATCCAAAGTTAAAACCATAAACATAATTTAATTTAATATATCAGATTAGGTTTTCAAAAATGATATGAAGCAATCTCAAATGTTGCGAACCATTGGAATGGATTAACATGCGATCACGAGTCGCCGGAGACAGTTCAAGGAATACAACAACAGGCATACGATTATACAAACGATATGATACAACCAGACCATACGCATATTAAAATGTGTGTATGTTTGCATGGCACAAACCTAGGCCACCGCAGTAGTATAGCAGCAGAAGTAGCACACATTGAATTGATATGGTGGGTGAATGAGTGGGAAAGAGAGAGAGAGAGAGAGAGAGAGAGAGAGAGAGAGAGAGAG